CTCCAGATTGTGTTAAAGCCCTTCTGTGAGCCAGGAGTAAATAGTTTTAAGCTCCAGATTGTGTTAAAGCCCTTCTGTGAGCCAGGAGTAAATAGTTTTAAGCTCCAGATTGTGTTAAAGCCCTTCTGTGAGCCAGGAGTAAATAGTTTTAAGCTCCAGATTGTGTTAAAGCCATTCTGTGGGAGGAGTAAATAGTTTTAAGCTCCAGATTGTGTTAAAGTCCTTCTGTGAGCCAGGAGTAAATAGTTTTAAGCTCCAGATTGTGTTAAAGCCCTTCTGTGAAACAGGAGTAAACAGTTTAAGCTCCAGATTGTGCTTCACTTTTTTTATGAATGTTACAGCATGGATAGCACATTGTTGGACACTGCAGCAGTAGTAGAATGTTATAAACTTAAGAGGATTGTTTGAGACATAAACTTCTTTGATGGTTGTTGTAATATACATACTGCTGAAAAGGCTGGGATGTACATATGTGCTCGTTTTCTTCAGTAAACTGGGAACATCGCCATGATTATGTGTTGAAAGGCATGGCAGAACATCCTTATTGGCATCTCCAAAATATAATGCTTGCTTGAACAAGCAGGCCCATGCCAAGCACATTTTTGTGGATTTGCCTAACAGTATCAATGCAATTAAGGCTAACACCAATCATGTACATATGAAACATGATTGGTCATGTCTTTTGACATGCTTCTCTGCCATGCCACATGTTCATCTGGGTCAGTGGAGTAGGGGAAGGGGGTGGAATACTGATATAGTTTTAAAGTTGTCCAATCACTTCATTAGGTATATGCCCACACTTTTAAAGCATTTAAAATGTTTAACTCCGTTAAAACAAAAACATAAATTGATGCACGTAACAGACGGCAGAAAATTAAGGAGGAAGAAGGGACACAGTCCCCTATTCTCTCTCTCTCTCTTTTTAAAAATAACTATATCTTTATTTGGCTTCATTGCTTAAATTACACACTTGTCTTGTTTAACAAAGATCACTAACACTAGTCTGATAAATATAAATCCCCACACCCCAATAATAGTTTTATATCTTGAGATTTAAATTATAAAAAAAGTGAATTTCAAAAAATTGGCATGCTTTATTCAAAACAATAAAACTCAGAATGTATGTGGATGTATGTACAGATAAGATTTACTTTGTATTTGCTTCCAATAACATTATTACTTAATTCTAGCTACCAATCAAAATACTAATTGTCACTCATACTTCCATTATTCAAATATTTGATTGAATATATTTACCGTGTATAAATATGGAATGGTTTCACAATTAATGCGTATCAAGTGTTCTCGGCTGATATGTAAAAGTAAGAATTTATTTCTTAAACTATAGATTTTCTCATTACTCTGAAATTTACTACAACAATAGTTTAATCATTCTGTTACGAGATGTTGCTCTGTACTTTTTTATTAATGAACTTTTCATTTCGAAAATGGTTTAGAACATCGTCACAAACCTGTCCTGCTGTTACATGTGACGTAGAAGACAAGCCAACCATCATTGTGTAAAGGACGATAGTTACAGCATCTGTAGGATACAACCTATATTTAATGTCTTTTTTTTTTTAATAGCTAAACAAAAACTTAGCTATTTTCTCCCTCTTGAAAAAACAAAATTAACCTTATGATAAATAGAATTATTGTGCAGGTCAATAAAAATATTTTATAAACAGTAACAAAAGACTATTTTTATCTTCAAGTACGTCTTCATGCAAGTAATGAGACATTAACCATCAGGTCAAGATTGTATTTATGTTAGAAGTCCCAGAGCCATTGGGGGTCATAAGAGCTACAGCCACCTACATATCCGACTACGTTATTAGGTTAGCAAAAGAATATAAAACATAACAGGATAAAATTCACACTATATGTTTCAACAATATGTGAAACAGACAAACAACTATCCATCTTACTATGCCTTGTAATTTATCCTTGTCATCACACTTCTCAATAAATTAACTCCCCAAACAATCCACACTAACTGCCCCACTTTTCAAGAATCTATTGTTACTTGCCACTTTCACTCAGTCCACATTAGCACCCAAGATTTTAAATATTTCACACTAGATCCTTACTTTCAATTAGTCAACACATGCTTCTAAACATTCATATACATGTAGTTCACACTAGATCCCCACTTCCAAGTAGTCAACACATGCTTCTAAACATTCAAAGACATGTAGTTCACACTAGATCCCCACTTCCAAGTAGTCAATACATGCTTCTAAACATTCATATACATGTAGTTCACACTAGATCCCCACTTCCAAGTAGTCAACACATGCTTCTAAACATTCATATACATGTAGTTCACACTAGATCCTCACTTCCAAGTAGTCAATACATGCTTCTAAACATTCATATACATGTAGTTCACACTAGATCCCCACTTCAAAGTAGTCACTACTTGCTCTCAAGCATTCAAAGACATGTAGTTCACACTAGATCCCCACTTCCAAGTAGTGTATTTGAATGTTTGAGAGCATGTATTGACTACTTTGAAGTGGGGATCTAGTGTAAACTACATGTATATGAATGTTTAGAAGCATGTGTTGACTACTTGGAAGTGGGGATCTAGTGTGAACTACATTTGAATGCTTGAGAGCAAGTATTGATACATGTAGTTCACACTAGTTCTGAAGCTTGCAGATATTTCATACCAGTTTCCAAACATTAAAATATTTTGAAACTAGCTCCCAACTTTCAAATTGAACAGTACTGGTTCTCACTTTCAAATCACTTCTCTATCATCTTCTCAATAGCCTAAATTAGCTCCCATACCTTCAAACAGCTGGCACTAGTTTTCACTCTCAATATCTGATACTTGCTCCCCTCTATCATAATGTTCTTTCTAATTTCTTCACTTTCATCAAGCAGTCCAACTTAGGATCAAAATGTTCAGACATCATTCACGTTAGATACTCAACTTTCATAGAGTCCACACTAGTTTCTCACTTCTAAACATAAACAGTCTATATCAGAGGTTACCATCCCATGGCAATGTGTTACAAGTGGTACACCCATCAATTAGAAAATATATTATATGACATGGCACATATATTTTTTTTGCACTTCTCACATACCCAAAAAATGTTGTTAAAATATATATATATATATATATATATATATTATTAACTATATCATTGAGTATGTAATGTTTTTTAATCAGTAGCATCTTACTCAAAATTCAAAATCTAAAACTGACACAATTGCTAAAACTTTTAACCCCTTTTGGTCTAAATTAACTTATATAACGGCCTAAAGCTCCTTCAATTTAACATACGCCATGATCCGTTTTATAAAAGTACGACAATCGAAGAAAACGCCTACACGACACCAACTTTAGCTCTTCATATAGCTACATCTACACATTTAAGGTAACATTTTTTACCTATTAAATGCAGTCCACAACTACAAATGACCACGATACTTACCATTCAAAAGAGATTCTCCAAAAACGAGGAAGTAGAGCACTTTATTTACACCTATTTCTTGAAATATCGCTAAGACCTAAATTAAAAAACAAGCAAAATATGACAATATTAGTAATCAGGTAGCAAAAACAACAACAAAAAAACATCTTTCACGTTCCAACAAAAATATAATATTTGTTATATAAGTAATGTAGAATACAAATGTTAAACACTGTTTGCTACTTCAGCCATCCTATAGACCAGGTAGTTATGCAGTAGTACGAGCCACGACTTCAAAGTTACACACTTATATTTGATCCTGGGATAATATAAAGTGGAAGGTTAAGGCTACACGTGTTCCCCATTCTCTTCCACAACTTTACAGTGATATATGTAAGGTTAAGTCTCGAAATTACAATGAGATCATTTTGTAACAATTTAAACATCGAACTTTATCTAACATTAAACATTTATTTTGTAATAGAGATACACGCTAGATTACACACACACACACACACACATGTACTTTGGTTTAATGCTATTTTTATGCCTTTTTTTTATTTGTATATACATGTATGGCATATCACATGAGGACCTGTGCACACTGTTACACATCATTTCCAAATAAACTTATGTCAAACAAACAATTACCCAATTAAACCATTACTTAATTTCATACAAGAGATCACGGCAATAAGATATATAGCAAGATTTAATAGTAACATATATCATTAAATAAGAAACCATGCAAAGATGTAAAATAAATGATGGAACAACTTCAGATCAAGTATGTTCTAAACTCGAATTATTTACTATAACACATTTGACATATATTCTTACATCCATTTCACAATAATGGCAGTAACTAACCCTAAATATGACGGCTGTTTCTTTGGATGAATTTATTCTTGAGTAAACAAAAGACTAAAATATTGAGGTAAATGGCTTCTTTATTCACAATAACAATAAAAAACACTTGCAGCTACAGGGTCCACTGCCGAGATCAACGAACTAAACACAAGGCACTCTGTAATCCCCACACTGATTGGTCCCAGGGCTCCAACTATGGCAAGTCCATACAGACTTGGTCCTATATTGGTGTAAAAAAATTAAAAGCATGACAAAGTCAAACAAACTGGTTCATTAAGAATAAAAACAAGGCCATTATGGTAAAAAACCAATGAGGGTACCCAACTGATGAAAGAATGCATTCTAATTTTTATAAATAGAAACATAAATATATTTAGCTATACAGATAGAAAGTTTAATTTTTAGTTTTACACTAATTATATAGCTTAGTCTAATCAGAAGTTATTATTATTATATGACGGGGTTAATTTTAGATTAGTAAGAATACTTAAAAGTCAGCCAAAGTAGGATCTTAGTTTTATAACAACATTTCACAACTACATGATTACCTACTATTAACAAGTGCTATACTAACAGTTAACAAATGACAACAATGATTATCTACTATTAACAAGTGCTATACTAACAGTCAACAACTGGTAACAATGATTACCTACTATTAACAAGTGCTATACTAACAGTTAACAACTGGCAACAATGATTACCTACTATTAACAAAACTACATTAACAGTCAACAACTGGTAACAATGACTACCTACTATTAACAAGTCCTATACTACAAGTTAAGAAATGGCAACAATGATTACCTACTATTAACAAGTGCTATACTAACAGTTAACAACTAGTGACAATGATTACCCACTATTAACAAGTGCTATACTAACAGTTAACAACTGGTTACAATGACTACCTACTATTAACAAGTCCTATACTACAAGTTAAGAAATGGCAACAATGATTACCTACTATTAACAAGTCCTATACTACAAGTTAAGAAATGGCAACAATGATTACCTACTATTAACAAGTGCTATACTAACAGTTAACAACTAGTGACAATGATTACCTACTATTAACAAGTGCTATACTAACAGTTAACAACTAGTAACAATGATTGCCTACTATTAACAAGTTCTATACTAACAATTAAATAATGGCAACAATGATTATCTACTATTAACAAGTGCTATACTAACAGTGAACAACTGGTAACAATGATTACCTACTATTAACAAGTGCTATACTAACAGTGAACAACTGGCAACAATGATTACCTACTATTAACAAAACCTATACTAATGGTCAACAACTGGCAACAATGATTACCTACTATTAAAAATTGCTATACTAACAGTCAACAATGATTACCTACTATTAAAAAGAGCTCCACTAACAGTCAACAATGATTATCTACTATTAACAAGTGCTATAATAATAGTCAACAACTGGTTACAATGATTACCTACTATTACAAGTGCTATACTAACAGTTAACAAATGGCAACAATGACTATCTACTATTAACAAGTGCTATATTAACAGTCAACAATGATTGCCTACTATTAACAATTGCTATATTAACAGTCAACAATGATTGCCTACTATTAACAATTGCTATACTAACAGTCGACAACTGTTAATAACAATAACTACAGTTTACTATACCTGCAGGTTCATTAAGAACCCATTATTAAAAGTATGCTATTCTAAATCAACAATAAAATGTCTATAGTAAATCAATATTAAATAAACTAAATAGTGAAGAACAATTGTCAAAAGGAAATATGTAGGTATAGCAATTATATAAACAAACAGTTCTGTGGAATATCCTAAACAATTAATTATCTCAAGGTGCTAATTATCTGTGTATTCTTTATCGAATATTATCATGAAATTCATATACACCGGAAATAATTTCGCTTGTTAAATAAGCATTTTATTTTCCCATCCACTATCGACTAATCCATATAATTGTTTGAATAACACAAAATTAAATCATAAAGTAAAAGCTATAGATTATATTTTAATGAGGAAATCAAACCTTTTATAATACATCATGCTTCTACAACAAGGACACCAGAAACAATATATACTATTGAGAAAAGTTGCATGGCCAGGTGGGTAGGGCGCTTAACTCGCAACTGAGGGTCTCGGGTTCGATCCCCGCCCTACCAAACATGCTCACCCTTTCAGCCGTGGGGACGCTATAATTACGGTCAATCCCATTATTCGTTGGTAAAATAATAACCCAAGAGTTGACGGTGGGTGGTGATGACTAGCTGTCTTCCCTCTAGTCTTTCACTGCCAAATTAGGGACGGCTAGCGCAGATAGCCCTCGTGTAGCTTTGCGCGAAATTCAAAAACAAACAAAAAAACCCTTGAGATTTTATGATATTTTAACTAATGTCCCTTACAGGACTCGATTTCTGAATTTAAAAAAATAATCCAGCAATAAAACATAGAGCATTGAAACATGCCAAATAGTCAGGTCTATCTGAAAGAAAAAAAAAACAAAAAACTTCGACACAAGACATTGTTGGATGGACTGCCAATTTCAACGACAGATGGCAATATGTTTAAACAATGGATAATTATTGATTTTAACAAAAGCGTTTACACATATAACATCAAAGTCCCAGTTATGACAAGGTGTAAAAATGTATTATACAATTGTTCAACAAAATTTTGGCAAATTAAAATTTGCATATTAATCTTAGATAAAGACACGTTTTGTCGTGTTTTTTTTTATTTCAAAACATACATAAGAAAGGTAGATATTAAAAATGTAAATACTATTGGTTTCAGTAGTATTTATTTAGAATGAAGAGATGCTTCCCTTATATGTAATTGTAATAAACGCCCATAAAAACTGCAAAACACAAAATGTGAAACCGCAACTTTGCATGTACCTCCGCATGGACCCAACAAACCTTCATGGCAAATTTGGTGAAAGTCCATCAACAGGTGGCGAAGTAGTTTTAAAAAAACACACGCAAAACTGAAAATATGTATGTACCCCCGCATGGACCTAATGAGCCTCTATAACAATTTTGGTGAAGATCCATCCACACCTAGCGAAGTAGTTATATGGTTTGTTTGTTTTGAATTTCGTGCAAAGCTACACGAGGGCTAACTGCGCTAGCCGTCCCTAATTTAGCAGGGTAAGACTAGAGGGAAGGCAGCTAGTCATCACCACCCACCGCCAACTCTTGGGCTACTCTTTTACTAACGAATAGTGGGATTGACCGTCATGTTATAACGTCCCCACGGCTGAAAGGGCGAGCATGTTTGGTGTGACGGGGATTCGAACCCGCGATCCTCACAATGCGAGTCGAGCGCCCTAACCACCTGGCCATGCCGGGCCTAGTTATATGGACAGGCAACAGACAGTACCATTATATTTATACAGTTTTAGTTAACTTTCTGAAAAAGTTTTAACAATTCTATAACAGAAAACGGTTTACTTTATTTAAATGCAAGAAAATTCGTTCATAAGAATATTTTAAATATTTAAAACTAGACTACTGCTACTCGAACATCAAAGTAACCTAAAATAACCCTTTTTCTGTTTCAACACAACATAAAACCACTGCGAAACAAGAGTAATAGCATAGCTTACCTATGGTAAAACAGTTGATTAAAGTGCCCTATAAAGAAAAATTGAATAAATATTTAAGTACACTGAAATGACCATCCATTAGACAGACAAAATTCAATTTCTACTCAGAAATCTTTACTTTTGCAACCACGTAAATAAAAAAAAATTGTCAAATTTCCTTATGCAGAGAATTAAATCACAAGAACTCCAAGAAAAATCCGCAATTATGTTTTGTTTGTTTGTACTGCACACCACGGGTATCGAAACCCGGATTCTAGCGTTGAAAATCCGCACACATACCGTTGTGCCAATGGGGGGCGATTTTATTTGTTTGTAACTAAGCATAAAGCTATACAATGGGCTATCTGTGCTCTGCCCACCACGGGTATCGAAACCCGGATTCTAGCGTTGCAAATCCGCAGACATACCGTTGTGCCACTGGGGGGCGCAATTATGTTTGCTAACTCTGTCATATCTGCCGATTTCATGTATATTGAAATCTCATGGTGACTTTGTCATATCTGCCGATTTCATGTATATTGAAATCTCATGGTAACTTTGTCATATC